CTGTGCCTCTATCATATACACTTTTTCTTATTAGTTGAACAATTAGAGAATCACCCAGTGGAAGCATAATGTAATGCCTTATCTCTGTGAGCTGATTGACATCAAAATGAATGCTCTATGAATTTTGAATTTTTAACTATTAAGAGACTAGAAGAATGCCTTCATGAAAGTGAATCAAGCTGTTGACCTTCTTTAGTGGTTTTCCCAAAGGAAGTAGAAAATCTTCATTCTCTATCTTATGGTGATAAAGAGTAGGATTTTGGAGCCAGACTAAAAGGGTTTAATGTTCTTGAAAAAATGTCTTGACCTACTGACATCTGTGTTGCCTTGATTCTAAAGTGCAGAGGTTAATAATACCTACATCACAGAGCTTCTTTAAAGAATAAATGAGTTAATGTATAAATAGGTCCTGGTGTCAGCACTAACAAAGGACTTGGTATCTTATCAAAGGTTTTAGATATGGATTCATACCTTATTTAGGGTATTGCATCTCAGAGTTGCCAATAACCTCAGAAACTACCAAGTGTATGCTTATCTGGCAAAGTTTTGGTCTGTCTGAATTTCTAACTTGTCAAATCTTTATTGTCATCTAAAACAATTCTGTGGAAATGAGTAAATTTCTACATCGAGTTCATTGCTGGCCAAACACAGGTCTCAGACTCTTGAGTAAAAGAGACTCATGAGCTCTTGGGTAAAAGACATAAATAGTTCACAGGGATGATAATAGAGCTATACTTTTCTCAGTTCCATGCAACATCATATTTAATATGTTAGTGCAAGAAACAATAGGATATAGAAATATAAAATACACTTTAAAATGTATAAAAATTAATTATAAAAGGCAAGAACTAAAAATAGTTAATTGTCTGAGTTCTTGGTATGGAAATGATGCATATTTTAACCTACTTTCCTGGCAAATGGGAAACAACATGTAGAGGAATACACCATGATGAATCTCTAGAACATAGACTGGGATAGAATGATGATTAATTCTTATTAAAATCATGCTATGATTTGAATATGGTTTGTCCACTGAAAAAGTCATGTTGGAATTAAATCCACATTGTAGGCTATTAAGAAGGAAACTCAATCTGACTGTGGTGTGTAGATAGATGTGAGGCATTCAGAGGTAGCTAGAATTAGATGAGGTCATAGGATACTGAGTCGTGGTAGCTTTTTGAGAAGAGGGAGAGAGATGAGAATCATGCATTCCCTGTCTCCTGCTGTTTTGTCTTCTGCCCACTGAGAACTCTGGCAGCAAGAAGGGCATCACCAGTTGCTGGCTGTCAATCCTGGAACAGCACAATGAGTCAAAATACACATTGCCCTGTAAGTTACCCAGTGTTATCTTAAATGTGGCTCAGAAGCCCATATACCAAACGCTTGGTCAGGAGCTTGTAGTTCTACTGAAATGTGGTGAGACCTTTAGGAGATGAGAACTAGTGGGAGGGAGCCAGGTACCAGTAGGACCATGCATTGAAGGGAAGACTGGGATCCTGACCTCTTCCTCTCTTCTGCTTCCAGCCACCATCAGCTGAGCCGCTTTGCTCCACCACATACTCCTGACCGAAGTGCTCTGCCTCACCCTAGGCCCACAACCAGTGGAGCCACCTCAGCAAGGATAAACAATTCTGAGACTTTGAGCCAAAATAAACCCTTCATTCTTTAAGTTGACTTTTCTTAAGTATTTTTTCACTGTGACCCAAAGCTGATTAACATACCCAACTTGTGATATTTTGCTGTTAGCAACAGAAAAATGGACAAAGATAATGGGAGCCTGGCTACTAATTTACTATGTCTAGTTAAGACCTTCTCCAGTAATAGGCTGCCAGCTTCACCCTCTGTTGATCACTCCACTCACAGAGAGGCCCTCACTGTGACAAGCAGAGACTGGGTGGTACAGGGTGTGACATAAAAGCTTCTTTAGAGACATATCCAATACTTTGCTTTGTATTTCTCAATCCAGATGTAAATTCATTAGTGGAAAACCAAGAATCTCATTTTCTATTATTTGGCCAAAAGAGGGAGGCTCTGGAATAAGTGTCCATACCTTGTGTAGGAAATTCTGAAGTTTATTTCTAGTGCAGTGTCTGTGACAATGACCCGGCATCCTCCTCCTTCCACTCTATTTCTCTCCTCCAAGTCAGAACAGATCTGGTGCCCTAAAGGTGAGGATGCAGGGCTTTGCTCTAAGGATCAAGATGGTCTACATCTCAAGGTGATTGGCATGAATTAGGTAACTCTGAAATGATAAAACTCCTAAAATACAACCTCCTAGAGCTTTGGGGACAGAACAACCAGCACAGTGGGCAGGAAAACTCAGAAAGTGTCTTGACCTGGAGTCACTAAGTGATACTTGGCAACAGGACTGACCTATATTGAAGTTGGTGCTTTGTACTTTCTTAACACTTCACACATTATACCTCACACATCATTCCTCACAGTAGTCTTGTGATACAGGAAGGGCACATGTCTTAGTTACTTTTCTCTCCTTGCTGACACAAAATACTCAACACCTAAAGTTAAAGAAGAAAAGATTTATTTAGCTCACAATTTGTAGAGGTGTCAGTCCATCACTGGCTGGCTGCAAGGCAAGATGACATGGCAGACAGGAATAGCAGAGGAGAAACAGTTCATGGTAGCAGAAAATAACAAAAGCGAGCACGAGACTTTAGCAGCTTTTATCTGCCTCTTTTATAGTCTATCTAGGCTCCCGGATTAGGGTGGTGACAAACTAATCAGTGGACTGCTTTAGTAATCACACATCCTTAATCCCAGGATTGCCCCATGAATCAATCACACACTGTAGATCCAGCCACCTCTTAAAAGGCCCCACCTATGATCACATGAGGCTTTGGAGGGACATCCAGATCACAAACAACAATAGCAAGTATTATTATGCTCATCTTACAAAAATATAAAGGATGTCCTTCAGGTCACAAAGTTGATGCATGTCCAAGGTAGAGCCTACATGTCAATCACCTCACTCAGAATTTTCCTACTACATAGAACTCTAACAATGTCATAGCCTTTCTGGTTGTCCTTTTGAAGTTACTCACAGGTACAGTTAGTTGTATATATGTACTCAGAATTATTATGGTTTAGATCTAGAATGTCCTCCAAAAACCTTATGTTCAGAGGTGGGCTTTGGGAAGGTGATTGGCTCATAGTGGCAGTATGCTCATCAGTAGATGAATCCATAGGTAAATGTGCCCTTAGCAAGTGGAGTCTGGTCTGAAGGGGCCGGTCACTGGAAGCATGACCTGGAAGGGGATATATCCTTCCACAGCTCCTCCCTTCTGTCATTGCTTCCTGGCTGTCATAGGTTTAGCCATTTTTTCTCTTCTGTGTCCCTCTGCCAAAGTGCTTCTGCCTTAGGCCAAGCTGACCATGGACTAAGAATGTGAGACAAAATGAATATTTCCTTTTTAAAGTTATGATTATCGTGTATTTTGTCCCAGTATTGAAAAGTAAGACAACTGTGTAGGTGTATAGATACAATACACATACATTTTTCATTATAAAATTTTATGGCATACTCTGCAAAATCATTGACAAGAAGAAAAAAGGATAAAATACAGCCTGCCACATACACATGGCTTCCATTGACATTTCCCTGGATTTTCCAGGGAATCAAATGAAATCTTCTTTGATTACAGGGGAATAGAGTATATTTGAGGAGCAATGTTTAAATGGTATTTAGAAGTTTGAGCACATTTCCTTCCTTAAATTTCATGTACTTGTTTAAATTCCTGTCTTATTTTCCATCTCAGAGCTGGAGTTTTCATGAACTCAAAGTACTTGCTAAACACCCATGGGACCATTACAAGGTATTTCTTCTCCTACTTTTTATAACACCCCTCATATCTGGCTTGCTACTTTTTTCAGTTTTGTTTTTTAATAGTACATATTTGCAGTACATAATGATTACATTCTTCCTGGAGTCAGTACATGGATGTGCTCTGTCTTATTTCTTCTTTTATCCTCTTCCCCTCCTTATCCCTTTTCCTTCATCTTTTATCTCCCTTCCATTTTGCAAAAGATCTATCTTCATTTTCTCTATTATCTACCTTTTATTTTTCTTTTTTTTATGTTTCACATTTCTCATATAAGCATATGTGTCTGATTAATTCACTGAACATTTTGGTCTCCAGTTGCATCCATTTTCCTACAAATGTACCAGGTGTCTCCTTCTTTCAGACAGAGTAGCGTTTGTGTCCTGAGAGATCCTGCCAGGTCATCTCAGCTCCTCTCCTCACCCAAAGTTCCTCTCTATTACCCTACTATATTCTGAGCAGAATGGGAAAAAGATGAGTGTTGTCAAGAAAATCAAAAGTCCTTCCTATTTGTAACTAATTCTATGACCCTAAATAAATTACTTTACCACCAAAGGCACAACTTTGTCATAGTTAAAATGCAGAGGTAGCTAAGACAACTTACATTTCTCCCAAGCCCTAACTGTATGGAATTCCATCATTAAATAAACCAATTCCACAGTGTGAATGTCCAGTGACCTGATCTCTCAAGAGAAATTATATTTCAAAGGTGATATTTCCTCTTAGGTTCAATACATATATTCATACATTTCTTCATTCTTTGATATATTCATTTATCAGGTTTTCAAGTGTCTTATAAGAGCTGAGTCTGATGAACCATAAGGTCTCTGGCATCCTGAAGTTTATCATGCAATGAGAATGTGGCCAAGCAGACAGGCAAGAAAGTATGATATAAGAAAGTATGATGTTACCATTTTCAAACCCAGGAGAATATTAGCTCTCTGAAGGGTCAGGGTGGGAAGTATATCTTCTCTGGAGGAATATTTAATTAGAATTAAAAATGAAGCAAATTTTATTACATCTTATATTATTTTTATTTGTGTAATTTCATAATTATATTCTAATAATAAATATATCCCACAAAATGTCTAATATTAGCTCTTTCAACCTTACATAGTTTTCTTTTGGTAATTTCCTATGAGAAATACACAGAAAACAGAAAAAGATATTTGAAAATCTTTTACAGTGGATCACCAGTAAATTTTTGCATGTTATTAATTCATGAGTCTGATGTAATGAGCAGTTACAGGAATAGATGAAGATTTATAGGCATTGCTGACACCCTTGCTAGAGCGAGATTAACGGTCCTTCAAAAGGGATTCCATGGTTTTTGTTCTTATAGTCTTTAGGACTTTCATGAAATCAGTGCCTCCTGTTCCTCTGTTTCCCTGTTCCGATTGCTCACTGGTGGTTTCCTCCTCCCTGGACTGCTTCTTTGCAGGATCTAGAATGTAAATCTTCACTATTCCCAAATGGTAGTTCCGCAGAGAGACCAGAGCTTGCACACACTTATCATAAGCTTCCTTCAAGTTAGCACTGCCTCTGGAAAGGACGAACTCACGGGCTGATGGACAGGACTCCAGGAAAGAGAGGAATTCCTGGTGTCCAAATGGCATATATGTTCGCATGTCCTTGAGGAACTCAGCTGCAGGTCCTAAAGGGCAGGACAGAGACATATGACCAGGATACCACAGTCTTCCCAAGCCAGGGCCAAAGGCAGAGCAAGATCAGAACGGTAGGAGATCACACATTCAAGCCCCAGCAGGAGGCTCCTCTTTGAAGGCTGAACTGCTATTACTTTTGCTACTAGCAATGCTAATTATTGAAACTATTACTATTTCTGAAAATAGTGCAAAACTCATTTTTCATAATAAGGATTTTTCTCTGCGTGTTCTTTCACATTTGCTACTATATTTGCTCTTCCAAGAGAGTGTTGGTGTAGACAGGGTATATTTAATCTGCACTTGCCAGATCATGACACTGAGTCCAAAGGAGTTTAAAGTATCATTTTTTAAAATGTATCTTAATTAAGAAAAAGTATATTTTCATCTAAGTCAATGGTTTTCCCTCTGTTAAATAGAAGCTTAAGAAAACAGAGAGAGATAGAAAGAAGGTTTGCTCCCCTCCTTCTTCAAAGCCCGGAAGAAATATAATGAACATGGTTCATTGACCTTGGTGCAGACATGGCTCTGACTGCCAGCCACACCAGCAGTGCCAGGCCTCTCCTGTCAGAGAGTCTCAGCAGCCCTACCTTCTGCCCACAGTTGGGTATCTTTTCCAGAAGACTTTCTAAATCTGACCACACATTTTCAGAATATGTGACACTGGCTTCTCCAGAGGTAACCAGGGCTTCATTCCATGCTCAAGTCTCACAATTTGGAGAATGATAAAGTCAGTTTGACTTTTGACTCTCCCACTTCCTAGTTGGTCAGCAGGAGCTAGTCTGCTTCTTCATCTGTGAAATGGGATCATGGCTATGTGGTCCATGCTTCACTGATTCTCTTAAAATCAACAAGTAAGCTAAGATGCAGATAAAAAAAAATTTTCTTGAAAGAAAGTAGTGATTGCATTGAGGCAAGAGATAATTATTTTTTTCATTTCCCACCTACCTCTGCCGGTGGTCTGCCCGATGCCCAGAACCACGTCGAGGCACTGAAAGATGCTGCTTTGCCCCGCACTGCCCCCCGAAAACTGCCTGGGCGTGTCCCAGACACCCTGGTACAGCAGGCCCTCAGGCAGCTCTGGGTTGCCTTTCCAACTAGGCAACAAAGGAAAGAAAAGTCAGTTTATGGATTAACTGACAATTTTCAGAAATTTTGCACCAGAGGTTAAAAAAAGAAAAATGATACATTTCATGACTCTTCTTCCATATCCCCTACTAATTTTCATGCATAAGAACAAGAAATAGCATATATTCTCAGAAAGGAACCTTATCTTTGCAGTAACACAAATCATTCACTAGTTTCTCCGGACCCCTCCCAGCATCCTTGGCCTAGTACTAACTGAAAATATCATCTGTTCTTTCTCTACAATATGTGTTTTAGGCTAGAAACGGTGATCTAAACCCAACAAATACTGGGACCATCAATAAAAATTTGGAGTGCTCTTTCTATTAATTGAGAGATAAAAAAATTTAAGGAAACAACTACATACCCAGACAAATATATGCGAAGAACTTTGTAAAATAGATTTGGGTCCACATAGCCTGGAAAAAGATAGAAAGTGTTCGGTTTAACAGTATTCAACAGGAAATCCAAAGTGTGAAGAAAGGACAGTATTTCAGTGGAGGCCACAGGAAATGCATCAGGGCCTCTGCACCTAGGAGGTCCCCAGGGACCAGCTTGTTCTGCTGCCCACCACTTGTGAGCACAGAAGGGCTGTGCTGAGGCTGCTACAGAGCACTGACAAAGAGTCGCCTGCCCACTGCTATGCGTCCTCAGGTCAGTTAAACTGTCAACAATTACTTATTTCCTTCGCATCACTTTAGGTGCTCACAACAGATAAACTGATGCTAGAACCAAGTCAAGGCTAGAGTGAATCATGAGTCCTTGGGTTCCATCCTGAGCACTGCAAATAAATACTGAATTAATTACCTAACTAAATTCAGTCTCTCCATAGACCACACCCCAGGATCTCTTTCTCCATACATTACACATTTGATTCGAAGGCATATCTACCTGCCAAAGAGTAAAACTCAGTAACTCCAAGTCCAGGAATAAACACTCACAAATTTGTGAAATTTATCTTGTAGGGTGTATGTCTTTTTGTAAACAGCTGTTTAAGAACTTTTTTTAGTAGTTTATTTAGCTGTTAATTTCAACAGCCTTTGGCCTCAGTGAATTTTTTCTGATGTTAGTGACCTTGAATAGAAATAGAATTAGCAGAGAGCCATGGTTATCAGAAGCTGACTTTCCAGAACTGCTTGGATTATAGTAGCAGAGGAGGCAGCTCCTTAGAGTACAATAGGCCCAGCTTGGACTCTGCCTTCCCTGTTTACGACCTAAACAACCTAATGTCATTTATGGTTTCTCTTTGAACATAAACTCCTTTACCCATAAAATGGAGCTAATGAAGCCTACCACAGGGAAAGTATAATGATTTACTGAGATAAAATACATCAGTGGGAATACCCTAAGTGATAGTTGGTTTTTGCTTCCTTTTTTTTTTTCAACAATTCTACACTTCAGACAATCAGGGGCTCTCAACTGTGAGCTTCAACTGTTGTACTGTTCATGGCACTTGCCATTGATCTTCTTAAACACTTCCCGGGCGTTTTTTAGGCAGTCAGCCATATCTAGAAGTGCAATTTGCAGAGCTTCCTCATCCTGTTGTTGTACTGCTCTTAGTACAGTGGGAATTACCTGACAAAGAAAAGAAAAAAGGCAAATACATATGACTTTGTAGCACTAAACACTACCACTGAAAAGACTTTTCTGGTCTTAATCCACAAATTAAATCTATGCTTTCCTTTCTATTTTCAAAAGTCAAAACCATTGAATTTATTGTTATTTATTAATAATAAATTGCAATTATTAAACCTTATAGGAATTTCATATTTGACTTTAAACATATGGCCTTTAGATATTATATTTTAGGTTTTACCCAAAGAATAATAAAATGTTTCTATTAGATGATCTATTAAGCCATTTAATGCTGTACTTAAGACAAAGCCAATGCATGTTACTATATCTCATTTGCTAACCTCTGTGCATGTGAATTGACATGAAATTTGTAGGTGTGAATAAACGTACTTTAATTGCAGAAAAAGCTGCTGTCTCCACCAACAGAGAAACTAGGAAGAAACCTTTACTGCAGTCTCCACCGGGGAATGAAAACAGAATGTCCATGTTCCTAAGAAAATCCATTAAAGCAAACAAGAAAATTGGCAAAGATACTGGTATATATGTAAAGTAACTTATACTTTTCATGAGCTTTTATTTAGCCTGTTTTATTTTCAAAATGATTTTGCAAGAGGCATATGGTATATCTTAATATCTCCACTATATGTTTGGTAATATTAGGAATCAGCAAAAGGGTTTGGAGTGTTCCTCAATGGTAAAGCATTTGTCTAGCACCCTCAGCACCAAAAGAAAACAAATGAAAAGGGAAGGAAATAAAAGCTATATTAGGCCTATTGTCTAAAATCAAATAATTAATAATAAGTCAGATTATGCTGGGACTTGGAATTTTATTCCAGAACTTGGAATTGCAGTCCCTCAAAATTGATTGGTTTGTGTTATTCTATTAACTTTTCACAGGCAAGTTCATTATGATAGATGTACACTTGACATTAATAGATGAATTTTTGAGGTAGACTTTTAAGGAGTAATCTTTTCATTTAAATAAATATATTTATGTATATATTTTTATCTGTGACCATGATTCAATTTCTCAGTAGTTTATCTGCTTTAAGAGGGAATTGATGGACAAATTCAAATAACTGGTTAGACTCTATTTTTCTTTTCTGTTGAGGTTTTGGCACTGGAGGAAACATACTCCTGGTGTCTCGAGGTGTATGACTTGTTTTATGCTAGTTACATGGGTTCTGAAGCCGGACAATACCTGAAACTTATTTGCTGCATGGTCCTGGGCAAGACATCATCAGTCTCTATCTTTGGGATAGATGGTATTGTTCTTCTGTCTACAACTTTTTTACTTAAAGAAACTCTTTAAACTCCTGATTATAGCCAGCAAAAGTCTACATAATCTTTCTATAAATGTATTTATTCTTCTCTTTCTTATACTGTTATTCACATCAATAACTATACTCACAACAATGATCCTTCAACTCTGATAATACGCAAAAAATTTTATCCCTTCATGGCCTCCACATTTATGATTCTCTAAACACTCATCATTTCCATCTCCTAGCTGATTTCTACTCAGTCTTCTGAACTTTTAAGATTTTTATTTGAGTAGAGCTCCTAGTCTCCTTATCCCTTCTCCTAATCATATGACATTATGCAATTTTCATATGTCTCCTTTCCCTCCATTAGTCTGTCTTCACCCGGGCAGAATAATATTTGTATTTACCTTAATTTCTTGAGCTCTTATCTGTATTTAGTACATAAGTTAAGGGTTAGATAAAAAATAACAGGTACAAGGCTATTTATTGACATAGCCTACTTGCTCTGGCCACAGAGGTCATTAGGTCACAGATACATAGATTTATTTGCAATTTGTATTTATACATATTATTTACATACATATGAATATTTTCATATTTTTAATGTTTTTATAGTTAACAATATCAAAGAGACATCAGTATTATTATACCCATAGACATAGTTGAGGACCTATTATTCATTCTTTAAATAATTGCTTAAATTACTTTTTGCCTGAATTCAATCAGCCATTCAAAAATGCATTTGAGTTAAATTGATAAAACTAAATTTATTTTAATAACAAATGACTCTTACAATGAAAGAAAAATCAAATACTTACTCATAGGTCATTGGCCTAATGAAAGCAGCCATGATGTGATGAAAAGAAAGAAAAACAATTTAAACTGACATGAGATTCAGTTATTGTTACTTGATTGAATACTACTGATTTATGAGAGTTAAGACATAGGCAAAAAGAAAAAATACTTTTTCAGTTATACAAGGTTGTACTGCAGCCATTTAAGTTACAAGTGAAATTTTAAAAATTAAATATGAAAGGAACACACATAGATAGTCAAAATTAGTTGTTCCTACTAAGAAACTTTCTAGATCAAATCCTTTCATTTTATGGCATCTCCCTTTGCAGGTTATTCCTTACAGGATACCCGCCTAGAGCCACAGGACATTGTGATCCTCTTGTCCCTTTATCTTGGCAAATCCCATCACTAAGAAGACCCTGACCAGGTGCAGTGAAATCCCAGACATTATTACTTGTCCTCCCAAGATGGACTGACTTAAAGGCCAGTGGCTATGCAAAATTGAACATGTAGAATCTCAAAAGCATGTCAACCAAAAGAAGCCAGACACAGAAGAGTACGTACTCTATGGCTTCAATAGTATAAAATCCAGCAACAAAACCTACTAATTTTTTGTACAAAGCCAAAGCATTTTTTATAAGACAAATTAGAATCCAGTGGCCTAGGGCAGAAAAGAGAACTGGATAGGAATGAGCAAAAAGAATTTTCAGAGGTAACTGAAGTACTCTCTATCTTGCTTGGCATGGTATTACCTGTAATGTGAATACAAGAGTCTAATTCTCAGTGAATACTTAGGATCTCCGTGGGTGGTAGTGTACGCTGATTTCACACTTCTCTTCCATTTACGTACAATATATTTGTAGTGTCAGACACAATGGTCCAAGAAACAATACCCAACAACAGAGAAGCTGGGCTGCCAAAACTTAAACCAATAAAAATATCTCCTTTGATTGAAACACTCTGAACTATGGCTCCTCTTAAAATTACAGTGTACATACCCACTGGGATCTTTTTTCTTCCAGTTTGCCAGCACACAGTCTGCATAAACCAGAATGGGAGGCAGACCCAACTTCTCCGAGAGTTCACAGTAAGGCACAGCGATATTGCTCGGCAGGACCTAATTAAAGCACAGTTGTTAGTTTTCCACTGAAGTGCCTCTCATCTTCAGCTTCCTGGCTGCCAAAACATTAGGTTTTCTATATAATGGGACTCTGAAAGCAAATAAATGTATTTTTTCTTCCATATTTCATAATTTAACCCAGTAATTATTAAATATTCATGATTTGGATGTACATGAGGGGGCATAATTTGGCCATATGGAGGGAAAAGTGCAAAGCAACTCTGCCTGCTTTACTTTCTACAGCCTGGTGTCTTTCCCTTTCTGATGGCTTTATGAGATATTTTCATTCCATCATTCATCCAACCACCCCATGAACATTTGTTAAATAATTTTTCTAGGTGAGACACCACATTATCCACTGGCAATAAATAAATAATAAAATAAATTGTCTCACAGATGCCTGAAGTCTCTGTAATTAAGAGTTTTGGACATGATACATGCAGAAAGTGTAAATAGGTTTCTGCTTTTGGAGTTCAGTGAAGAAGGAAATTCTCTTGGATGACTTTTTTTTTAAATAAGATTCACTAGGGATATTGTTGGGTGCTTAGCTACCAAAACTTACTCTTAACCGAAGGAGGAAGCTTCTTTTATTTGTTATATGAGCCACCAGGAGTGGTCCTGGAACCAAATACCCAACACTTACAACCTAAAGGCTCATGGTTTCAGACTAGGCAGCTAAGGTTGGCCAGCTCCAGCTCCAACTCCAACCCCAAGGCAGAGACATCAAGTGGCACACCTCATGACAGCCAGAAGTAGAGAGAACATGAAGAGTCACAGAGAACGAGGAAGTGGCCGGGAACAAAACTCTACCCTTCCAGGCCACAATCCCAATGTGTGACCCAGCTTCAACCAGGCCGCACTTTCTAGCAGCACTTTTAGCTATTAACTCACTGGTGGATTAATGCTTTGATGAATTTAGTGCCCTGGTGATATAATCTGATGTAATCACCTTCCAAAAGCCCCACCTCTGAACACACGAGACCTTTGGAGGATACTTTTGATCTAAACCACAACAACTGACTTTGTCTTTCCCTGAAGAAACATCTTAGCTGTCAGTTCTTCCCTGTTCCTTTCAAAGTGAAACCACAGCTCACACCTTTTCTCCACAACTATTTCTTTCTGAGCCTGCTACTCATAAAACTCTGCTGTGTGATTGGCACACATTAAAAGGCCTCTGCCCCCACAAGACAGTCCTCCAGTTATCTAGTGCCACTCTTCCTGGATGTGAAGAAAGAGGTCTTACCTGGTAGCTCTTCCAGCTAGCCATTGGCTTCCTCCTATCAGGCATGTTCTCCAGCAGATCCAGTAGCCATGAAGCTAACACTGTATCATTTATCTCCCTAACTTCATTATCTAACCATCACCTGCTTTAGAACTGGACAGTCTCATTGACAGCCTGTGACAAGAACACACATATCTAACCAGGGAAAGATAAGAACAGAGAACAGTCTGGTGTGCAGAACTTCAGTGGTAGAGATGGTATAACAGTTCACCCCACACCAGTTGTTTTTATTTTAATCTTAGGAGTTGTAATCCAAGTGGCTTCAGATTAGTTTAATGAACTTGGTGATGTATTTAACTCAGAGAACAAAGTGTTAGGACAGAATCTCTGACCATCAAGTTACCCTTGTGTGCTTTCCTTTGCAGTTTGTGCTTCTAGAGACTGAAAGATTTGGCTGGCAAACTATTTACATATCTTTTAAAAGGAAATAAGTTATGTCATTCCTAATTTGGAGAAAAGATCAGTGGAGATAAAAGGCCAAAAGTTTAATAGAATAGTTACCTTTAAATGAAAAAGAGAATGTTCCAACAGGTTTATTATAATCACTCTCACAGCTGTTAGGAAACTCAGATGCTAGTTTGTTGCCTATTCTCAAGAAAAAATGTGCCTTATGTTGACTTCTGTTCTTTTTATTTATTTTCCCTATAATTTCCTTATTAATTTTTTGTACCTTTTGCACTGTTGCTTCCTAAGAACCTTTTCAGAGTGATGGAGTGTACAAAACTATGATAAATTACAAATATATTTTCTAATTTTCTTTCATAATTCTGATTAATGTATTATTTCTCAAGACACTCTGGTCTCTATGATTTTTGCTAGTGCTTTCTGTCTTTCCTTTCTGTTTCAAGTATCCTTGTTCCTTATGACCACACCCACCGCTATTTCATCCTCTGGCCTCTTGCTCAGAGCTCCCAGCACACCATGAACTTCATTATGATATGTACACAACACCTGCAGACTTAGCTAACCATTCTAGATAAGATTGTGCACTTACATAAAATTTAAGTTAAACTTAACATTAGAATTAGCCTTATGTTTTTTACATCACACAGAATGTGTGATGAGGGCTATAGTAAAGTACAAGGTATTCCCAGAACAACTTCTCTATATGTCTGGAGATGACTCATCACACAGGGATTATGTACTGATTTGTCTTTAAGCAGGATGTGAAGAACAACAAAAAAATACCTAGATAAGACATCAATTAACCTTACTAGAAAAGATAAGATTCCTAAATGGCAGAAAATGCTTTTGGAATCTATATATTTGTGATTTAAAGTTTAGGTATTATAATCTGCAATAGTTTCATGTGATTACAAAGGACAAATAAAATACAAGATGCTCAATAAATTTGCATATTTTATGACATATATATATATATATATAAAAAAAACATCGTTTATCTGAAATTCACATTTCAACAGGCCTCCTGTTTTTCTACTGACCTAAACTGGCATTCCTACATAGGAGGGGAGTATAAGGACTGGAGCTGCACTACTGGACAAATAACGGACACAGGCATCTTGGAATTCTCCCATTCATCTGTCCCACACCAGTCCCTAGGAAGGGTTACTGCAAAAACCTTTTGGTTGGTTTGATAGTAAAACTGCCATCAAGGCTAATAATTTTTAGCAGCTATAGGCTCATAATTGATGCTGTTATATAAAATGAGACCATGACTAAGCTAAAAATGCATATATATAAACATACATATAAAATGACATATTTTAATCTATATATTTTGCAACTAATGTTATTTAATGTTAATAATGGTAGAGTGAAACCAACATGTTCTTCTATGTTGACACCTATAAGCCCTTTAGCCTTAACTAAGAAGAATTATTCAAAGATACTCATTGTAGTGTCATTTATCAAAGGGAAATATTAAAAACAAGTAAAATGTTTAGCAATAGAGGACATAGTAAATAAAGTTCAAGAACTCAATGAAAAATTATGGTCTTGAATGACTAGGATTATTGTGTAGAACCTAGAAAATGTTCACGGTGTAAATTAAGTTACACAAAGAGGCTGTATATGTATATGTAAGAAAAGGAGCAACCGTGCTATATAAGTAAAATAGTAAACTATAGTGATGATAGCACTTGGCAAGGTAAGACCATAAGTGGTGTTTTCTTTTCCTCTTTTCCCTCTTCTCCAAACTTTTGAAATACAGCTATAATGCTACTCAGAATTTTTTTTCTTATCTACAGCCTACCACATGCTGAGCTATACCTTCAACAATTGAAAGTTTTTACACTAAGTGTTAATTGCATTTCATTTCATGTAAATGAAAATCCATTGTGTACCATAGGGAACATCAGTAAATCTCCAAACCTTTCGGACATCCCCATCTCCTCGGTTCCACACATAGGCCATGGTAATGAAGCCCAGAGCTAAGTGTGCGAGGCGCTGTTGGTCATGCTCCTTGAGATCATCAGTGCTGAGCATTGGTAGCTGAGAACAGATGGAGAGATTTCACTACAGTCAATCTGTGAGGGCTTACATTTCCAACCAATGACACTGTGAAGAAGTTACACAAGAAGCAGACAGGTGAAATTCATATTTCAAACCTTCTCAACTTCTTCACGAAATTGGCCAGTCTTAATCAGTTCTGGTAGATCTTTAGCAATCAAAATCCAGGCATTATATTCATCAGGCAGCTCCTCCTGGAAAAAGCAAACAAAAAAATTAGGACTTTGCTTTGCTAATGAAAGTCACTGAACTCTCTCATTGGCCTCTCACCCACAGCCTACTTGGCCTTTTCCTCCCTTTATTTACTAAGTCTTCTATTGCTAGACACTGTTCTGGCAAGCACTGACTGTCCAGAAGCACTGCACTACCTGAGGGACAGGCAGAACTCAAATCTTTCTCTGAGCTCCTCCACTTCCTTTCTTCCAACACTTCCACTTGCCTGTTTTCAAAATTCAGCTCTAGAGTCCTCCTGAAACCTTCCTTACTTCTCCATTCGACAACAGCCTCTTCCAGGATAAATCCTATGATTTTGGGTTTTTGTGTTATTATCTGCTACTTTTATTTTTCTTCTCAGCTAGATTTGAAATTCTTTGAAAGAAAATGAGATGTATTAAATATCACTATTGGATTAGGTACTTTGCTCAAGAATGACATGTATTTCTCATTTACTTCTTCTAATGGTCCAGGAAGTTGTCTCTATATCATAAATGAAAGAACCCAGGCTCAAAAAGTTTATGTACCTTGTTTTGCATATCTGGTTTATTGTAATTCAAACATAAGTATCTCAAACTTTCATAGTCCATAGTCTTTTTATATCTCAGTGTGCAAGGTTTGTATTGTGTGCAAGGACTGTATTGTACTTTTAATTTTATATACCCTGCAAGATCTGGCATATTACTGGACACTCAGGAGATGCTATAAATAGGAGACCCCCCTTGTCCATGGAGCCTGTGTTCCAAGGGACTCCCAGGGATGCCTGAAGCTGCAAATAAATACCACTGAACCATAATACTATGGCTTTCCTGGACTTGCATCCTGCAATACATCGAATTCACTTTCCATCCCAACCAAGCACTTCCACATATTGTGACTGTGACTGGTGCAGTTTAAGATGTCACAGTAAATCTAGCAAAAATTTATTTTTCCTTCACAATTTCACTGATAGATTTGTTCTTACCACACATTTTAGTAACCTCAGCACATGATTTTTCTGTCTTTGTTAAATCAAAAACTTCTACCTTTGTTTCCTAAAGAAGCATTTTCTGGCTTCTCTTTGGAATATCTGAATTGTCAGAGATGTCACTATTCTTGTGTCTCTTGCTATGGCACAAGATTTTGGCCTTAGGTGAGTTTTATCCCAGCTGCTATGCCACTACATTAAGACTGTCTTACATAGTTCTGTCTCTCCTGTGCTGGGATCCAGTTCCATTTACCTCGAAAGGCAACAATTTCCTTATTATTCTGGTTCCTCTTTGTGGAGGTAGATATGAACACTGGGCACTTCCATACGGGTATCTCCCCTCTATCCTCTACATGTTTTTGACCATTAAAATATTGATGACAAATTGGTTTGCATGACATTCTTTGGAATTCAACTTAGGGAAAGTAGTTTTTAAGACAAGCATTTCCCCCTACATACCTTGTACTTTATAGCTAACACTTGCAAGATAAAAGAAAGGAGTTCACACTCTTTGAATCATACACCAGTAAACTACAAACGTTATTAATACAGCCCAAAAGTTACCTAAAGTATCATCTCATAAACCCAGTCATGTCAAGAATCAAATTAGCTCCAAATACTTTGTACAGATTAAGATATATCAATGCAGAAAGAGGCTTCCCTGTTACTAGAAGCCCATTTATAACACTGGCTTTTTCAAGTTGCCCTCTGAAAATGCACTTGTAATAAAACAACTCCTGATTTCTATAGTAATTTTTTTGTAGTGTCAAAAGACTCCCCATAGTTTTATGTCATCCTTCTCCATTTCTGTGCTAGGTAAGTAAAAATTACATACTTGACTCAGTTTCTAGGAATAAAACCTGAAAAACAGTAAACGAGACCCAGTTATTTAAATTCTGCTTCCAGAGCTGGGGATTTAGCTCAGTGGTTCCCGTGCCTGCCTCGCAGATGCAAGATCCCAAGTTTAATCCCCCCTACTACAGAAAAATAAAATAAAATAAATTCCGCTTCCATTTTGGCACTAACTTATCCATTACTTCACAATAGCTGTTCAGTAGAAGTTTACTTGCCCAGGTAATGAACAAGAATAAAACACATTTTCTCACATTTCACCAGTCTCTTACCAGTGGATTTGGCAGTGCAAAGCCCACATCTTCATCTATGTGGTGCTTTTTGAGGATTTCCCAAGAGCTTTCCATAGGGGAGGTTCTGTCCTGAGCCATTCTCAGTTTGCTCTACTGGCCCTCCTTGGCCTCTGAAAAGTTTCAGAAAGCATTTACTTTTTATAGTGACCGTAAGAGGCAGGAACTAAATATTAGCACATAAGCAGGGGAAAATAACTTCCACTTTGGGGATAGTTTCATTTTCTACCTTCTGTATTTGGAATTTGGTAAACAATAAAACCACACAAGTATTTTTATTCATCATATGAAGAAACTGAAAGTTAGTATTACATTCACCTCATTATCTCTGAGGAACACTATTGACTTACTTCCTTGTGGGAAGCCCCAAAGAGTCTACCCCAAAAAACAGCCATATAGAAGTGTTTAAGCTGGTACATACTTACAGTCCTAGGACTCTAGGAGGCTGAGGCAGAAGGATCACCAGTCTGAGTCCAGCCTGGGCAACTTGGTGACTTATCAAGACCCTGTCTATAAATAAATTAATAGGTGGTAGATATAGTTCAGTGTGAAGACTCTGGATTTGTTTAATCACCAGTACCACAAAAAACTAACTTTTAAAACTTAAATTTAAAATAAAAAGAATTTATCATTGCTATAATGCTAAATTACCATTTTGTTCTTTGTCTTTTGTTTTTCATTTAAGTTTCTAGAGATGTTTGAAAATATCAGCATCATTTCAGTAGCCTCTAAATACAACCAGGGAGATACTGAACTATTAGTCAATGGTCCTAAAGTATAAATATAGAGGAGTCCGTGAAGAATGGGAAAGATGTGCCTCTCCACTGCCTCATTGCTCTGACCTAGATTTTTCTGTGTTCAAAATAATGCCATTCTCTCTTCCTACCTATGACATCATTTTTAGGAGGGTTGTCCTGCATCTCTGCTAAGTTTGGACTTCAAGCAGTGAAGAGGCAACTGCCTTGCACATTGGAGGCTTTCTACTCTGTTCAAAACTGAAGCCAAGAATAAAACACCTTGAAAAAAATTTTTTTTCAAAATTTAAAATGAAGACTGCCTTTGGTAAAGGTTTCCCAGGTGCATGCCAGTCTGTCTTCTCTTGGAGGCATTGCCTGAGCTAATAGCACTACAACAAAAGCAGAGGCCAGATGGTTCCTGTAGAAGATCAAGAGCAGAAGAGACAGAAAGTTCGTGTCCAGTACACAGAGAGACAAAGCAGTGTTGTCATCCAGCTTGTCCACGCATGGAACAAATTAATGAGCCACAGCTTTGGCACATACTAGAATAGCTCTGATGCCGTTCTCTTTCACATAATGGCTTTGCTGAGAACAGATGGTTTTGCAAGAATATTATGTCTTTATAAAAGATGGTCAGGGAAATTGAAACCAAAAATGACTCAGAAAAAGAATACAGTGCTAAACTTCTTCCAAATAAATGAATCATCTGAATCATCGGGTGGGTAAATTTGGAACGAGGCCCAAGGGGAAAAATCCAAAATAAACATCACAAAGGCCTATTATACAGCCATGGAAGATAGAGATCTGAGCATAATATTATAATTAGAATATCTGTGATTCTTTCTATGATTTTTCATTCTCTGTACTTGAATTTTTCTACATGTATTTACTACACAGAATAAAGTTAGATGATTCTAACTTGGAAATATGTCTCAAGGTTGACTTTTGAAGCAGCATGTTTCAGGAAAACTTAATTTTACTCCTCTTATTCATCTACTTTACTAAGTCCATCCTATTTTGTCTACAGGAGCAATAATTCTTGATGGCTCTAATTTCTCTAACTTTTTAACATCTAAGCTCAACCTCTTCCTTATTTTCTGAACTGTATTCTTATTTTATCCTGCCTTCGTTCATCTTAATTCCTCTTTAGTTGTAACCACATTTCCTTCAATAACACTCCCACATGGCTACAGAAGAGTTTCTTAATTTTATGGTCTCATGTGGGTGCTTTGTCTCCCTCTTTAGCTTTTTATTAATGGCCAGGTTATTATGCTGTAGAGGACTTGAGAGACAGAGCTCAGCCTTTTGATCTATGGCTTCCTAGATCCGAGGTTTCATATGAATCTGTTTCCCTTGTTCATATCACCTGTCTTGACAGCTAGGATTCTCTTTTTTTTATGTTGATATTTCCTGATGTGTCCATGTAGCAATAGACTATATTTCCAGTTGCTCAATTAGCATCTCTATTTGGAAACCCTGAAATTTCATTACTGTGGACATTGTCACTATCGGCATGGTTACCAGCAGCACCATTACCAGGACATCTGTGGAAACACTGCATCCAGGGCCATGATAAATACAAATTTATCCCTTCTTCAAGGTCATCCTCTGTGGTGCAACCAATTGTCACCTTACCATTGTGTTATGCTAATACATAACATATAACTTTATTTCTAAAAAAAATAATTCTCAGTCAAAATCATCTAGCATATGTAAAAAGAGTTAAAGCAGCCATTGAAATATCAATATCTATGAACAATCACTCTTAATATTTATGTGATTGTGCATTAAGAATAGTCAAATTTCGTGAGGTTTCTGAAAGGGAACTAGGATGAAAACACAAAATTAAGCACTCCTTTGAGGAAGAAAATATCTTAGACCTCAGAGTGTTTAAACCATTTTAATAGATGTCTAATAATCACTAAAGCATACATACACATGATAATAAAACTATGACAAACAACAGACTGTGATAGTCCTACTGGGGATTTGACATATGGAAAAGTAGATTTTATAATTCATTTGTGTAATGTATTAAAAATAAAAAACAAAAGTCAGGTCTGGGATATTTTGCAAAAACTGCAGAAAATGTAACCAAATGTACAGCATATAAGCATAATGAGAAAAGAATTCTTAAACTTGCAGATATGTTAGAAGAAAAGAGATTAAAGCCAGTAAGAAAAAAATGGCACCAAATACAGAGAGAATAAGAGACAGAGGCTATAGTGTGAAACTCTCAAGGAGATATTATCTTGGTTTTAGAAGAGGCTTAAGAGAGAGAGTGGCAGTAGTATTAAAGACAATAGGGTTGGAGAAGTTTTAAGCTACAACCAAAGGTACAGAGTCCCAAATAGATAACACACTATGTACCTCAAATAGGCTTAAATGAAATAAAAACTACAGCTAATAACATCATAGTAACACTGGCTAAAATAAATGATAAAAATATTTAAATTTTTTAAATTTCCAGAAATAAAATTTAAAGGATGTTGAAAAGAGCAACAATAAGACTGATCTTGAATTCTTGAAGAAGTAATTGAATCCTGAGCAAGGAATGTATAACAGGAAAGCACTGAGTGGAAAAAAATAGTCAAGCAAGAAATGTATATTCACAGAAAAAATCATTTGAGAATGTAATAAAATAAAACATTTAAAGACCAACAAAAATTTAAAACATAATGCCAGCAAATAATCCATAATGAAGAAAACATTGCTGATTTTTTGTCAGTTTTTCTAGAAGGAATGTACTCTCAGAAGTAGAAATAATAAGGAGCAGTGAAAGAGGTAGCTGCCTGACTAAATCTGAAAGAATGCCCATAAAACAGCAATGATTAATTATTCCAACAACAAAAAGTAATGTGAAGTTTTACTTAGATGACAGATATTCACATGCATAAATACATAGATTGAACTTATTGTAACAACAATTCATTATATTATGAATATGAAGAAGGCAAATGATGTTAAAATCTTGCATGTTCTAGAAAGAGTAATAAAAACTAGTATAGAAGGGTTTTGGAAATTTACAGAAGTTTGTTTTAATCTTCAGGATTGCCTATAAAATATGGCAATATATAAACAAAGAGCCAATAGATGGGAAAAATGTGTTAGCAAGTATACCTTAATAAAATCAAGATATAAAAAAGCAAAAAAAGAAGCTAAACAACTGGACTAAAAAGAAAGCAAATAGTAAATAGTTCACTGGCATATAAAATTATGTGTAAATAGACAAAAATTCTAATTACAAAGTACAGTGACTATTATATTAGACTTTAAAATTGCTTTATGTGCTATGTAAAAATATAAAGATGCAAAATATAATACAGAGAATATAAAAATAAAAGACTAAAAAATATACATCATGCAAACAAAATAAACATCATGTACACATTAGTAACAATATTTGTTATACCTATATATACATGTTATATGGCACTTTGGGGCAAATAGTTCATTAGAAATTTTGTTAGTCAGATTTCTGCAAAAAAGAACTTGTTTATAAAAGAGCAGATATTTCAAGGAGGGGGGGGAGATGGAGGGAGGGAGGGGAGAAAGAGAGAGAGAGAAGAATACAGATAGAGAGACGTCAAGGAACCCGGCTTATGTGCTTTGAAGCCAGGAGAGCCATAGTCTGGAAGGGCTGCCAACAAGCTGGAAACTCTTGTTCAGAACCTTATGTTGCATTTCAAAGGCAGAATTTCTTCTATAGGAAACCCTACATTTTTGCTCTTAAGGCCATTTAACTGCTTGGATGAGACTCAAATTACTGAGTTTTACCTCCTTTACTTAAAGCCTCTTGATTGTGGACCACAACTACAAAATATCTTCACAACTCCTAAATTCGGGTTTACTTGAATAACAAAGTGCTATGTCATACCAGCCTGACACTGACGCAGGACTTAAAGAAAAACAAGTTCTTCCTAGCCTTTGGCAGCCTCCCCCCATATACAGAGAGATCACCCTGCTTTCCCCTGTAACTATAACTCTTTGTCCTGGTACAGATAAAATTAACTATGTCCTGTAAATAAAGTTTATGACACTCTCTTCTCATATGATTCATACCACATTGTCTTCATTCAAGGGAAAGGTACAAAACTGTCTTCCTTTGTCCTGTTCAAGTGCCTTTGTACGTCACTAGAAAGACCACCCCCTTTCTTCAAAATGTATAAAAGCTGAGACTTCTTTATTCAATGCTCAGCCATGTTGAACATAGAATCTGCTGAGCCAGTGTATACTCCTTAAATAAATCCTCCTGACTCCCATTTGGCCTCTCCTGTCACTTGGATTCTGCAACATTTCTGGTGACCATGAATGGACTGGAGACAACCGAGTTACTGACTCCGTTGCCTGCAGGCTGGAGAAGGGCCTGAGATGCAGGAATCCTGAGACCTCTGGTGCCACCAGGTAAGACTTCACCTTAGAGAGGGAATCAACCTTCCCACAGCCTGGAAACTTCCCGCTCCCCAGCAGTGCAAAAGGAACCTGTTGGGATTCAGGACAATTCTGAAACAACAGTGTGCTAGGGGACCATGGTAAGGTAGGGGCCCCAGGGAGAACCTGTCTGTATGACAGGACAGAAGGGGAAGCTAATCACTTCCTGGGGGTACCAAGTAATCTTATCCAGATTAAGTTGGACCACACTGGCACCCCAAGCAGAAGTGGCCTGCAACCTGCAAAGTGAATCAGCTCATAGGGGTGATAGGAATGTGGGAGTGGCCCACCATGGGGGAGACTCATGGTTAGTCTGATTCTGACTGAGTCAGATGAAACCTACAACCCCAAGAGGAATGTGGGGTGGCCTGTGGTGGGAGTTGGTCTCTAACAACTCAAGGGACAGGCCCATAATGACAGTGACTTGCAAAGAGGGTGTGACACATAGTCAGACTCAGGGGAGTCAAACAATACTCACACCCAGGTGTACTGAGTAGCCGGACTCAGAGGGAGTTAAGCAAAACCTACACCCAGGCTAAAAAATGAGATAGGAGAGGTGTATGACTGTGTGTGAGTGAGCAAAAGAATATATGTGAGTCTGGAGGGTGTAAGAAAACTACGTAATTGTGTGTAAATGAGCGGAGTAAAGTGTGTGAGTCCAAGGTCACCTGAGCTCAGCTGAAGACTGGTAGAGGGAGGCAATCTAATTGGTCTAAAATCAAAAGTAATTGATAGTGTTGCATTGTAAAGGGCAAAGGCATGTAGAAAGCTGCCTAGATTTAGTGGCCAGGATGTATAGGTGGTTCGCCACAGAAGAGCTGATATAAAAAAAGAACCCTGTGAAACAGGGTGATGACTGTGACCAGCCCAGATGGAGACCAAAACTGAAAGAACACCTGAGCATCTGGCTGGTCCAGCAGCTGGGCTGAGGCAAGGATGCAAGGCAGAGAGACTTGGACCCAGATATACCTGCCAAGGTTAAAAGGATAAAACAAGGATCATCCTTTCATTTCAAAGTGCCAGAAAGCATGGAGCGAGACAATGGGAGGGATGCTCTTGGCTTCGGGAGCCCCAAGGCCAGTGCTTGTTCATTGTCACCAGCCTGGCACAGCCTGCCAAGTTGATGGATTTTATGGTGATAATAGAGCTGAACATTCCATGGTGACACAGTGTATTGGACCATTGAACAAAAACCATGTGACTATTGTTGGAGCCACTAGAATTCCAGAGGAAGAGGCCATTTTTCCAGCCCAAGAGATGTGTTATAGGGGGAAGAGAGATCCAACATGAATTCCTATACCTTCCAAACTGCCCAGTTCCTTTGCTGGTAAGAAATTTGCTTCATAAGTTACAAGCCCAAATTGGCTTTGGACAACAAGGAAAAATGGCTTTAAATCTGACCAACCCTGAGCCTATGGTGTTCACCCTCACTGTCCCACAGGCTGAGGAATGGAGACTGTACTCTGATAAGCCACCCTAGCCAGGAACAAATGAATGATATGGGCTGACACAGATGGTTTCCGGAGTATAGGGTGAAGACAGCCCACCCAGGCTAGCTGTAAATCAAGCTCTGGTAGTAATGGAACTAAGGCCAGTGGTGACTCCTGTATGAGTTTGCCAGTATCCTCTCCCCAAGGAAGCTATACAAGGCATTCAGGGACACTTAAAGGGGCTTATAAAAAATAAATCTGGTCAAATGCCAGTCTTCTTGGCACACCTCACTTTTGCTGATGTGTAAATCAGAGACTAATACATATAGGCCAGTACAAGACTTGTGTGCTGTAAATTAGGCTACTGAAACCATACACCCAACAGTGCCAAACCTATATACACTAATGGGACTTAGCCCAGCTAGTGCTCCCTGGTTCACTTACCTGTATTAGAAAGACAAAGGAGCCTTTTTCTGTCTCCACTTGGCATGAATCAGTCAACCCATTTTTACATTTCAATGGGGGAGACCCAATTACTGGCATAAAAGAATACCTCACTTAGACTAAGATTCTCTAGGAGTTTAAGAACTCCCCTACATTCTTCGCAGAAGCACTGCCTCTGATCTCAAGGTCTTTCTCACACCAGGAAGTGACTATGTTTTATTACAATATGTAGATGATCTTCTTTTTGCAGTCCCCTCTCATGAGCACTGTCTCTAAGGAACCAGAGATCTTCTTTACCTGCTCTAGAAGGCCAGATAGAAGATATTTAAGAAGAACACTCAAATTTGCTAACAAAAGATCAGATATCTGGGTTTTATAATAACAAAAGAGAAACATCAACTGGGTACTGAACAAAAACCAGCTGTCTGTGCTCTCCAAACCCTGATTACCAGACTCCAGATAAGAGAGTTTCTGAGGGCAGTAGGTCTCTGATGCATCTGGATCCCTAACTTCTCACTCATGGCTAACCCCATATATGAAACCACCAAAGTAGGGGAAAGAACCCTCTCTTCTGGGAAGCTGAACAGGACAGGACATTCAAACAAATCAAAAAAGCCTTAACCCAACCTCCAACCCTGGGGCTGCCAGACATAACCAAGACTTTCTTTCTGTATGTCCAGGAACAAAAGAGAATGGTCATAGGGGTCCTGACACAGATTGTAGGATCCTGGCACCGCTCAGTGGCATACTTATCAAAACAAATAGACTCTGGCCCTCGGGAGGCCTCCATGCTTTAAAGTGCTTGCTGCTGCTACCCTGCTGATGCAGAAACCTGACAAGCTGACTCTGAGACAACTGACTGTCTGAGTGCCACCTTCAGTCATAACCTTGATGGACCAGAGAGGACTCCATTGGTTATCAAAACCAAGAATGACTCGATATTAAGGATACTATATAAAAATCCCAAGGGCCAGAGATATAGCTCAATGGTGCCGCTGCCTGCCTGGCAAGCACATGATCCTGAGTTCAATCCCTGGTACAAAAAAAAAAATCCCTACATAACTTTAGAGACTATAAACAGTCTTAATCCAGGTTCTTTGCTCCCAGTTGAGCCAGGGCCACCCCCCCACCCCTTTCATGACTATGTGTGAGACCAAAAGTGACTCCATTTTGTAAATGTGGGACCAGAATGACTCCATTTTGTCCAAAATGAAGCAGTCTCCTTTGTTCTCTCAAATTAGTGCTTGAACTAGGACAAAGGACGTAATCCACAACTCAGGATTCCTTAGTTTATTACTCAGCCATCTGTTTGCCCTAGAAACAAATGTCCCGGGCCCACTATCTATAGGACAATCTGTTAACGTACTGACTGTCCACACAGGGTGGTCGTGACCATTAGTCAGGATGTCTGCTGACCATCAGTACGTGACAGTAGACCACTAACCTTTGTCCCCATTCTTCTTGTAAAAACCTATACGTAATCCCCTTCAACCCCCAATGAGCCTAGCCAATCAAAATTCTACACTTCATACTTGCTTAATGTTAACCAATCATATGGCTGCTAATGACCAAAACTTGTTGTAATCTCAGTAAAAACCCTGCTAATTTGGAACTCGGGGCTCTCAATCTCGATCCGCTGTGTCGGTGACAATTGAGAGTCCCTGCTTAAGCTTGAATAAACAACCCTAGTGTGCTTACATCGGAAACAGCCTCCTGGTGGTCTTTGGGACTTCGTAAACTGGGCACAACATATGTAAAAATCATAGACAAAGTATTCTTGAACCAGGGAGTTCTCACAGACTGCCCTCTTGGAGACCCAAATGTTGCTGGAAGGAACCCAAAGGACAAGATACGCAATGATGACATTAGACTCTGTGGTAGAGGCCCAACCTCTGCCCACCAAAACGTCAGCCCAGAAGACAAAGAACAAAGGACAAAAAGCTAACATCTATACAGATTCCAGATATGCTTTTACATTACATGTACATAGGGCCATATATATAGAGAGAGAGAGAGAGAGAGACTTAACTGCTAATATATAATAACATAATATATTAATATATATAACATATAATATATATTAATATATAATATATATAATAATATATATAAAAGATACATTGTGGAGCCTAAAGATGGTGACTATTATATACTGCAGAGGACATCAATGGGCTGAGACATTAAAAGCCAGAAGAAAAAAAAAAAGCAGACAGAGAACCAAAATAGGCTGCTATGGCAGCCTCCCAACCCACAGGTGGGGCCCTGGCCATCCTGGCCATGCCCCTCTTCTCGGAACCTCCTCTCCCAGAGACCCTGAGCTACTCCTCAGATAAAAGAGCCTGTCTTGCCTGAGAAACTATAAAGTATATTTTTAAAATGATAAAAGTTTGCTGATAAGAGGCTAGCCATGCCTAAAGTGCTGAGCCCCAAGTTCAGAAAACATTTCCATCAGGGGTCTCATATAAAAAAGACAACGTTAGAAACATTACTAGGCCACCATTTCTATGTGTCACAGCTCACTGCCATCACTTGGGCTGTTTGTGAACAATGCCTAACCTGTGCTCAAAACAGCCCTAGGCAAAAGCCCACCTATCCCCCAAGTATCCAGGAAACGAGAGCTGCCCACGTAAAAACCTACTTATGGACTTTACTAAATTGCTTTGAGCCAATGACTATCAATATATGTTGGTGCTTGCTGGCACCTTCTCAAAATAAATTAAAGCCTTCCCCACCTGAACAAAAAAGACACAAGTGGTGACCAAGATACTGTTAAAAGACATCATCCCAAGATGTGGACTGCCTTTGACCCTGGGGAGGTCAAATCATGAACCAGCATCTTACCCTACTTGTCAAAAACACTCAGTTGGCCATAGAGACTCTGATAGACAGGAACATCACCACTCTACTGATTGCCTTAACCAAGTATCAACCTCTGCTCAATAGGTTGTATTGAGCACCCCCTTATGACAAAAATTGATAATAATAATAATAATGATGATGAAGATGCTCTCTAGTAAAATCTGTTATAAAGAGCATCAAAAGGGGGAATGAAGCAAGACTTAAAAAGAAGTCCTTCCCAGCCTTAGGCAGCCTCCCCAC